AATGCAATTGTACTAAAATTAAGATTAAGACTTCTCGATTCAAGCAATTATTAACCCATATTTTTTGGTCATTTTTTGTTGTGCTGTTTTTAGACCCATCCACGCTAATATCAGAAACTCCTCTATCTTAAAGCTCCTTTCTGTCCTGTAATACTATGTTACCATTCTTCCACTATGATGACACACACTGAGGAGTTTTAAAAATCAGTTTTAGTGTTTCCTCAAGTGAAATGATGCTCTTCAGAAATTGTGTGGCTCTATTTACAGGCAGCTACTCCTGTCGTGGTAGCAATGAGAGATACAGACATGAGCCATTTATGTACACGTGATACTTATTTCACCACATATTTTCTACATTATCAAACAAAGTAAATGGTTTCATTATCATACACACACACACACACACACACACACACACACACACACACACACACACACACACACACACACACACACACACACACACACACACACACGCACACACAGCATCATGGCAGAACATTACAACCACACATCACATTCATTAAATCGCTAAAATCCAGTTGTTGTTTTTAGCTCATCCAGGTAATTTTCCGACATAAACTCATCCATAAATTCGCGACCCTCTCTGACTCATCCCCATCTGCCACATCCCACAGCTCTTTCTGCCTTTGTGAGCAGATATACGCTCTATAGTGTACATCCGAGTGTGAGCTGTGTTTAGGGCTTATTAGCATGATATATTTACATTTCAGTTCGCTGCAGACAGGTCACACACTGATCTTCATCTCTCTAATGATGGAGCCTGGGGGGGAACGTGCCTGGGTCGCACATGTTTCTAAGACTTTGATACAGCGAGACAGACTCAGGCTCGTAATTATAGCTATGACGAATCCACTCTGTCCACAGCAGTCATGGCGTGTCACCAACAGGAGCAGTCGGAGATCTTCCACTTTCTCGTCTCCTGCTGGAATACTCTGACACCTCGCCTTTGTTGTGTTTTATTATTGGCGAAAATACAGTCATACAATACAAGTGCAGACAAACAAACAGATACAACAAGACAGTGGGAAAGAACAGATACATACATTGTGGACATTTACTTGGCTGTTTATGTGTGTGTAGGTGCAGTGGTGTGTGCGTGTGTGGAGCAAGAGCAAAAAAACATTTCATACATTTTTGCCTCAATGTTCTTGACCTTTTTGTGTATGAATATGCATGTGTTGCATTAAAAAGGACACTGGGAGCATGTCCACTTGGGGCAGGGGGGTTGTTCCAAGCACGTCCTTAAACATTTTGTTTTTTTTCATTTTAATGTTCCATCTTTGTTGTGAGCGCGACAAAAGGAATAGACTTAAAACTACACTAACTGACTTTGAGAAACTTTCGAACCAGAACGCTGCGCTCGTCTCTGCTCATGCTAACTGTAACTGTACTGTATATGGAGCTCACGTCTCACAAAATGGACACATTTGAACGTGGATGGCGTGACCATAGAATGATAGAACCGGGAAGCACGGATGAACAAGACTTTCTTTTAGATGGCTGTTTCGCTGTGTAAGCAGTAACCGGTAATGAAGACACGGGAAGTTTCAGATTAGCCTCCGCCGCTTGTTTCCCTCAGCTGTCTGTGCTAACAAGAGACTTGTGACTTTTCTCAAGAAAGTGGGGGCCAGTGGTCCGCTGTGATTGGTCACAAAAAACAAAAACAAAAAAAGCGCTATATAAATCCGATGCATTACAGTCTGGACTCAATACAAATTCTCTTCCTTGTTTCACCAAAACTCGATCTAAAATTAAATGACACGCCAGCACAAACCTGCGCTACTTTTTCTTCAAAAGGACGTATATCTCAATGCATTGCATGGATATGGATTGAATTTTCGTAATGAATACAAAAATAAAGTCAGTTAGTGCAGCTTTAATACAAAATTCAAACCTCATCATCAACATAATTTTCTTCAGTATCGATACTGAATCTACCGGTAGTTTCTAATCTATTACTTGTTGATCTCTTTCTTATACTTTTAACAACCCTGTAAACCCACATCAATTGGACATTGTTTGTGTTCTGTGCAGTGGCTAATAATAATCATCAAATCAGTTTGTCGGAAAAACAGAGACAGTTATCAAAATAGTGCATTTCTGCTCTTTCATACTGTATATTAACTCCCATTCAACTAGTTGTCAAATTGTGTTTACTTTAGATGGTTCATTTGACACACAGTCCACACTATTTGCATTGTTTCACTCTAATGTGAAATAATGCAGAGACATACTTGTACCCACTTTCCTCATAAGGACTAAAATAATACAACTGTTACATGAAGACAGGCGTCCCTCCAGGAGACATGGTTTATTTAATATCTTATCTTGCAGAAATATGTTCAAATTGGTCAATTTTTCACAAGAACATTATAGGTTTCAGACCAGTGGCTTTTGTGGACTTTTACACCGCTGTGCCTGATGTCTTTTCAATAGATGTTTCAAACTTTCTGAAAGATATAGTACAGTCGATACGAGGGTTTAGTGAAAATGAATATGTGCTCTTAACTTAAAATTTTGGAACTACGATGTTTCTAGTGACAGGAAAAATTGATTCTGTTCAGTTTTGCGCACAAATTAAATCGATACGTTAGAGCAAAGTATTGTGATCCATCCATCCATCCATTTTCTTCCCCTTAATCCATTTCTGGGTCGGGGGGGTGGCAGTTAGAGCTGCACCCAGTCACAGAGCACCAGCCCCTCACTGATCCTTCTGCAGGTGGTGAGTCCACAGGAGCTGAGATATTTCAGTTGGGGCTTTGGGCAAAGTAGGGTTAAGTGTCTTGCCCAAGGACACAACGACAGCAGTCATCAGTGGGAGTAGTGAAGTAGGTCTTACGGTGGGCTCGAACCCACGACCTTCAGGCACAAAGGCCAATGCTCTACCAACTGAGCTACTGTCGCCCCAAGTATTGTGATATATAATTAAATAGTTGTCTGTTTCACTTTTGTGTTTTCTCTGAGTTTACTCTGGCAATTCACATCTGAGGTTTCTGTTCCTGTATAATGTCTGCTTCTTGTGACTCTATCTGTTATATTAGAATAATGTAAGTGATTTTCTGAGAGCTCATCATTCATGTGAGAGTCGTCTAATCAGAGAATAATCATGTCTTGTCTGTTATAAGCTCCTGTGTCCTGAATGTTCAAGGATAATGTTTTTGCACTACCCTCCTAAGTGTTTGCTTCAGTTAATGTGCAGACCATAATACCATCAAATGTGACGTACATTTGAGCTGAGTCTTTTTTCTCAGTTTTTTACATGTCTTTGCGTAATATGAGTGATATGAATTGCAATATATCACAGAATCAAATCACAATACTTGCTGTATCGCAATATGTTAAGATTCACAATATTATTGAATTGTGTCCCAAATATTGCAATACTACCGAATCGTCACATTTTTGTCAACTCCCATCGTTAGACACTACAAGTAAAATGAGTACTGATACAATGTAGCCTCATCCATTTATCACAATCTTCCTGTTCCTGTTTCAGTTTCAGCGGTGAAATGCAGAGGAAATTACAATGGTGTTCAGTCTAAAATCCATAGAAGCATGTTTGCAAAGACCATGTGTGGATGCTGCAGATATGAATGCCCCTGGGTATTTGAGAGTGAGAAACGTTAATGCTGACGATGGATGCCCTTGTTTTTCATCAACATATAAGGTTTGTTCACGTATAAATAACAGAGAGAGAGGGTCAGGCCAGTTAAGGCAGTGTGTAAGTCGACATCCAGCGTGTAGGGAGTGAATAAATAATGGATTAGCATCTAGAGGAGCTTGAAACGCTTTTAATATGCAATATAAATTCAAGTCATTATTATGTATCTGTTTCCAGTCCTTAACACACAAATAACAGAAGGCTCCTGTACCATGCACTCATAAATGTATGGTTGGGTTTGAATAAAAATATCGGTATCTAGCTAACCATGCTATTTTAAAGGTGCTGTACCTGATTCATTTTGTTTTAAAAGATGAATTATTTCTTCAGACCGGTGGGACAGAAATGGCCTGGAATTAGCTAATGTATTTTAAGCAGTTATAAATGGAAATACAATCTCTCAGATCCCAGAGCAGGTTTTTGATCCCACAATTATTTTGACAACAACGATATGCTTACGATCCCTAATGCATTTCATTTTGGCTTTTCAAAGACTCTTGAGCATAAAAAATAGATTCATTCAAAACCTGCATTCATGGAGTGACAGGTTATTATTATTCACGGAAAAGTAAGTAAGTAAGTACATGCATGTGGCTTGAAAAGGGATTGGATTAAGCAAATGCCTAGAACATTATTATTTTGTTTAAGCTTAAGCTACTTTAGATAAATGTCTGTATTTGTTTTTATGTATTGGATATGTATTTGTATTGTGTAATAATCTTTTGACCCCTAAATGTTCCCCCATGTGTGTCAGGTCAGTTTTGTAATAATTCGTTGTTCATATTTTGACATTTTGGCTTGTTAAAAAGCCTAAATACTGAAATTGATTTTTGTGTTTGCTCCCGCACCTTCGGTCCCTTACAGTGTTCATGAATGAAAGTCTTTGAATGCCATATACAGGCCATTAGCAGGGAGTATTATTTTTTTTACTGTATGATCCCTGCTGTCTCTCCTTCGCAGCCTCTCCACCACACCTCTCCCATACAAATTCCAAACATCCATGTTGCCCTATTGATCTGCACCCATGATTTCCGTGCAATTTAATCACAACCCGGTGCCTTACAACATAACACAGACATATCACCGCGACCTGGAGACGCATTTAAAACCGGACAAATAAAAGCAATCAATCGGATCATTTTCCTCCACAGGGCTCTGAAAGGAATCGTCCATGTACCCTCACCATTATCATTTAAATGGCTTATTGATTTTTCATTGAGTATTTCGGTGTAAACGCGCGGCACGGGTCACACTTGTAGCGCAGAGATAATATGTGCTCGACAGTTGGATAAATGTTTTTGTCTTGCCTCCCCAGATGCTTTCTTGGCGCTGGCAACGAGAAGGGGGGATAGGGGGTCACCTTGGAACGTGCCCCGTCTCCACTGCTCCCCCCTCCCCTCGAGGAGACAGGGCAGTGCGAGATAAGGCGGCAGTCAGAAGTGAGGGTGGTTTTACAGAGGTGACCTTATATATGCGGACATACGGTTTAGAATGTTCCGACGGTAGGATCAAGAGAGAAAAAAACATGAGGTGCCAACTGTATGAAGGTGATTGCAAGTCATACTGTATCTAAAGCAAAGGTGAACTTAAGGGCAGCAGTGTTTGGTCAGACTGTTGCGCTGCAGGATGTCCTGTTATAGTATATAACTAACATGTCATTCACTGTGTGTTTTGGATTTTACCAACAAGTTTTATTTTAGTCTACTCTGACCACATTAATTATCCCAGGCCACTTCAAGATCATCCAAATGATGACTGGAAAATTTTACACTTTAGAGGGATCATAACCTGATTTGGTTCTCTATGAAATGTTATTCTCTAACCTTGTTATATATGATTCCTGTAGATTTTTTATATTGAACTAAAACATTGTTATGGAAGAAACATGTCTGGTGCATCAGGAGGTGCATTAAAAACAGTAGTGTATTTATGGTGCATTATACATCCACCTGAAGTCCTCTCTGCCACATATCCCCGCCCCTTTTCCAAAGCATCAGAAAAACATGTGTACAATTGCAATGCGTTTAGTTCCCCCTTTGAGCAAAGAGGACGAGGAGTGTGAATCCTCCACATATCATGGAATCAAAAAACTAAATTGCCAAAGAAAGTGTGTGAATCCCAGAGGAGGGGCAAGGTGTCAGGAGTCAGAGGACTGAGGGGAGAGCAATGGGAGATGTAAATAACTCAAGCATGCAGGAAGTGTGCTGTAAACAGCTTTGTGCGTATATGACGATGGGAAACAAGTATAACAGGGTCAAAAGATGACCCCTTTAAGCAGAGGGGACCTTCCAGGCGCTGCATCCTAAGAGTACTGTGAACCATGGGGGTGGAAACCTGGTGTGAAGGCTGCAGCGTTGTGTCAGACTGTTGAGATGATATACTGTCCTTTTGTAGAATATGAATGTCATGGAATTCACATCACAGGTTCCTTCTGTGTGTTTTGACTTCATTTTTCCATTATATGGTTCTGTTTTGATGGTTGCATTAGGGATAAGCTATCGTTTACATTGTTTGACGGATGTGTGGTTGAACTGGGTCGAAGAATAGGAAATGATCCTCTCCACATTCTGCCCGATCAATATGAGCCCATGTCTTCAACGGGGAAAGGCTCACGCTGATATTTAGTCATCAAGAAGGTCGATAACCGGTGACAAACAGTATGAAGCCAAATAATGACAAACAATCATCAACACTATTCAAATGTCTGAAGCATGTTGTTAATTAACAAAACAAACAATAGAATAAGAAACAATGGCCGGCCTACTCGGACTGGATCCAAAAATATGCAGATATCGGTGTCGATAGTCAGTTCTGCTGATAATCAGTCGTGGAGATTGTGCAGTAGTGTGTATAGCTGGAGTAGTTGTAAAAAACCCTAACCCTATACATAGTCCCCATTCATGGTATCGGTCATACGTATATCTCATTAAAGGCGATGTCAGCAACATACATTTTATTTCTTTTGTTAAAATACTGCACTGTATATTTCTAACCAAGGGACATTGTACAATCATGTTTAGTATGTATTTTTCACAACAATTAATAATATTTGCAGGAAGTAAAAGGATTAAACAAATGACGAGGGGATTATAATTCATTTCATTTCAAATCAGGGCGGCACGGTGGCACAGAGGTTTGCACTTGTGCTTCACTGATGGTGCTGGATTCGACTCTATATACAGACCTTGCCTTTCCCCTACCGCTAAAAACATATACAATAGTCCCTCATAATACCCTCCCAGACACCACTCCCACCCCCTCTCTCCGGGGCCTGGACCCTGACAAAGAGATTCTGAAATCGAAGTCGGAATTGGTTAAATAACCTGATTAAATAAAGTTCAATTAGAATAATAATTCAACCAATCAAGTGGCTGCGGGGGTGAGTATGAGCGGGTCTAGGTAACTGACATTTTTCATGCCGTCCATGTTAAGTAGGAACATGTAAAGGATAACAATACTACTATAATAATGTGTCATTGTTTGTCCTTTTATCATCCACTATCCTTGCGTCTGAAATTGTTTGGCCTATAATGACAAATTACAATATTGATTCAACTCGACAGCCCAATTCTACCGCCAACTCGTGAGCAGTGTAAGAGTGTTGGTGTCTAGGTCGAGGATTAAAAGTACCATGTGTCAGATTTAATGATGGGTTTGCTGTCTTAGGACTTAGTGCTGGCTATCTCACATACATATGGGAGAAATGCAGAAGTAGGAGCCGCAGCAGCAGTTCCTATTGAATTATTCATACCGATTATGTTCAAGGTGTCGCTATTATCCCTAAAGGAGCAATTTCATTTGCAGCAGTCAACACAGGCACATGCAATTCAGAGCAACACCAACCATTTGAAACCAAAGAAGCACTTTGCAAAGACCGGAAAAGCGGATATGCAGGACTAATGCATAACTTTTTAACAATACTGCACTTAATATTAAAGATGAGCATTTGGAAAACTTATTGTGTTTGGGTTCAGTGTATGAATATTACCATTCTGTTGGACTTAGATTAGACTGATTTGATTTAGTACCTGCACATCCCATTTTCACATAAATCCAGTTAACAAAAAAGGGCAAACACTGATTCCAATCCACCATCACAACACAATATCATGCAATACAAATATCACCGAATTCAAAAACACACAGTATTATACTGTACATGAATATTGTACATGATGAAACATGATAACACACAGACACACTCAGACACACACACACACTCTTATACACATCCAACCTCACTAACTAAAGGATCATGTCCAAATCTGTGTCATCCATAAAAAAATCCTAATGTGTTCTATACCAGTGTTCCCCAACCTTTTTGAGCCGTTTTTTTAATTTAAAACAATTACATGGCACCCCAACAAAAGCTTTTATTAACAATGCAGTCATTCTAATCAAAGTGTTTCATATAGAAAATCAAACAAGCGCAGAAGCCTATTTAATATTCTTGCATTATTCAAAATTTTCTTTCATTATTTTTGACCAATTAGTTGATAATGGATAATTTCCAAAGACACATCAAACAACGTCTCAAGGCACACCAACGGGCCACAGCCCTTTGGTTGAAAAACACTGGTCTATACTGTATGGGCTTGTATGGTGACACCAAAGCGCTCAATAATTGAAATGAAATGAATGAAAATATTGACTTTATTTCCAATTTATTATACAGCTAACAACACATTACACTTGAAAGGTATCTAAATGCGCAACACATCCAGACAAAATATGTATTTACAGTTCTTTCAATGCCATGGTGAGCGGTCAAAGGTTTTCTCATCTCCACGTCGCTGCCATCAAAATAAATTCCCTTTTCTGGAGTGGTAATATGGCAACATGAAGAGACATTCACCGTGCGCAATTTTCTCCTCAACCACTTGCATTTACCGTTCTTAATATCCCACAAAGCACCTGACGCCTGGATCGGTAAAAGCTTTCAGCTACACCTGCCCTGATCCCAGTGGAAGTGGGCAACATTCTGGACCATTTTTCACTCAACGCAATCTGAATAGAGTGTGTTTGTGATGACATGAAGAAAGGTGCACATTTTATTGCTTGGAATAAGTGTGCAATGCCTTTCTCTGTGATGAATGTGTGTCCCCTGGTGCCAACTCGGAGCCTGGGACTCGATGTAGTAGCGAAGGGCCGGAGGTAGAATAGGGTGTCCAGTGAGCAGGAGGCTTGGCAGAGGGAAGCTGGCTCCTTTCACGTGACACTGAGTAAGTGGCCCAGGGCATAGAGACCCTTGGAAGTGTGTGTGTGTGTGTGTGTGTCTGTGCGTGTGTGTTTGCGGGTGAATGAATGGCCACTTGATGTAAAGAGCTTCAAGTACCACGGTTAAATGCAGCCATTCACTCGGCTTTCCAAGAATGAAAGTCATTTCTAAAGACCTTCAGAATTGTTTAAAGCTCAACTTTGGCGCTATTATGAAACTGAATGATCAAAATATGATTTAGATTATTCAGAAAATGTTTAGATGACAGATGACATTTTCATTTAAGCCTAGAGATAGACTGACATATAAAATGTCTTGAAATATCTGCTATTGGACCAAACTTTTTTCACAACCGGCTGATATAAGCGTCACATTATACCTCATTTTCAGGAAAACACCCCCAACTTTTTTGCTAAACCATGATCCCAAAATGTGATTGGTAAAGTTTGTAACTCATTGTTTAATTATATTCCACAAAAGTACCGTAATTTCCAGACTAAAAGCTGCTACTTGTTTCTTATATGCGTATGTATCCTAATTTGTGTATTATTATTGTGGGCGAGTTGTCAGTGCAGAGTTTATGGATGTTTTAATAGCTATAGGACAATCATTTTATAACATATTGTAAAATTTCACAGGCAAAGAAACATTTCCAATCAGTCAATATCAATCCAATTTAATTTATTTTCAACTTTGAAAAGCCTTACATTTGCCACAGATCAGAGAATCAAACAGAATCAGACACAAGAAATGCAATGATTAAAAAAAACACAGAGCCATTTGTCCATAAGGGTCAGATAACCAATGTCCATAAATGTTCACAAATGTTGTTTAATTTTGAGTGTCCTGGATCATCCCCACTGTCCTTAGAACCACCTGTGTGAAAGTCCAATTAGCTGCAAAGTCTTGTCTTAAGTCTCAGTGGTCTTGCACTTTTGGACTGTGTGGATTTGACCACAGCAGACCAGACTGACGTGTGCCTGTGTCCTGTCCGCAGTGCGACCCGGGGGAGGCCACCAAGCTGCTGTACGACCTTCTGTACACGGAGCCCATAAAGATCGTGCTGATGCCGGGCTGCAGCTCCGTGTCCACGCTGGTGGCGGAGGCGGCGCGCATGTGGAACCTCATCGTGGTAAGACTCGCCCCTCGCTCAATTCAATTCAATGTATTCTTGTATAGCCATAAATAACAACAATAGTTATCTCGCAGGACTTAACAAAACCGTTGAAATCGCCAACACAGATCAGAGAATAAAACAGTTCAAACACGAGAAATGTAATGGTAAAAACACATAGAGCCAGTGGTCCACAAAGGGGCAGAAACAACATGTCAGACTTCACAGTAGAGAGTCCTCGCAGTAGAGAGTCCCTATGTCAGGCATATCAAACTCAGGCTCATGGGTCAGATCCGGCCAGAAAGACCATTTTTAGTGGTCCTTTTATTAATATTATTGTTATGAACTTGCAGCATTGATGTTATGAGCTACCAACGCATGTTATACATAATCTATTTTCTCAGGAAATTGAATTTTTTTTTAACATATTCAAACTTTTCAACCCCTCAGATCATTAGAAGTTGAATATAAAACCATGTGTTCAACTTTGTTTGTTCAACCAAATATACTGTATCTGTATTGTTTTTAAACTCATGTCACATAAAAGTCATGACAAATATCCTCAATTTATAAAACACAGGAAATCTCCTCTATTCTTTCAGCTCCCAATATTTCTTTTACTTTTGTTACCCCTGACCCAAATGAGCCTTATGAAGTAACAGATCTCAAACCTGCACTTTCTCTCTCCCGTTCAACACACTAAACACACAGTAGAATTCAGCAAAACAGTAAAACACACATGCACACACAAAAGACATAACCTCAGACACTAACACAAGACACGTACCCAAACACTCTCTGACCCTACACCTCTCTCCTATTCAACACAGTAACAATGCAGTAGAACTTAGCAAAACAAGAGCGATGCAGTACATGACAATACGACTGATGGTATGAGACAAAACAAGACACAGACACACACAAACACACAAACAAACACACACTCTCAAGACACAGAACCAAACACTCTCTGACTCAAACTTGTTCAGTACTTCTTTTTTAACAGCTTTTTTATCTATTCAATTTTGTATGTGTTTTTAAATCATCTGTAAAACTGTGCGAGAGATCGAATCCATGACACAATGATTTTTAGATAGTAAGAAAGTAGGTAATCTTTATTTATATAGCACAATTTGTAAAGCACCGAAAGCGCTTTACAAATTTCTTAAACTACTAAATGTAGGCACATACAGTTCCTTGTTTCCTCTTGTAAATGTGCAATTAACTTTGACACATAACAGTTTTAAGACTCTGACTTGTGTGTGTGCGATTGTCACCTCACAATAAACTCACGACTGCAGCTGGTGCCGTCGTGGGGATATACAACATTTGTCATAGATATTTCTCATGGGTAGTCAAAGTCGCAAGCATGCTGTAAAATATGTCTGAGGGCCGCGCTGAGGGCCGCGCTAAGGGCCACGCTGAGGGCCGCGCTGAGGGCCGCGCTGAGGCCAGAGCAGGACTGGGGGCCATGGGACGACCTACAGACTATTTACTGCGGTGCACTTAAAGCTGCACTAACTGACTTTATTTTTGTATTCATTACGAAAATGCTATCCATGTCCGTGTAGGGCATTGGGATATACGTCCTTTTGACGAAAAAGTAGCGCAGATTTGTGCTGGCGTGACATTATATTTTAGATCGAGTTTTGATGAAACAAGGAAGAGAATGTGTTTCGGGTCGCGGATTGTGACCAATCACAGCGAACCACTAGCCCCCACTTTTGTGAGAAATCTACAGGTCCGTTAGCATAGACAGCTGAGTTAGCACAACAAGCCAAGGAGCTAACCTGAAGCTTCGTCTCTTCGTCACCGGTTACTGCTTACACAGCAAGACAGCCATCCAAAAGAAAGTCTCGTTCCTCCGCGCTTCCCGGTTCTATCGTTCTATGGTCACGCCATCCACGTGCAAATCCATATTCATGTATTATCCATATTGGGAGACGCTAGCTTCGTCCCAACAGTGTGTGTGTGTGGGGGCGATAGCTTCGTGGGTGCGGGGAGGGGAGCAGAAAGAGCGAGGCCAGCGGGTCCACGGCTTCAAAATCCCAAAGTCAGTTAGTGCAGCTTTAAGCCACTGAAGACACACACACACTCTTTCAACGCTGTGTCCTATGATTTACCAGTGAGTTAACAAGCACTTTTCCTGTTTTTCACACAATAAAATAATGGATAAATAGACGGAGTCAGCGTAATATGACATTATTGTGATAATAGGTGCTTTGTGGGAAATGTGCACCGGGGCAAATAAACAAAGAATACAATAAAGTCGGACACTAGACTTTTCTCCACTAAACTGAAAAAGTGGCTTAAGGAAAATCAGAAGTGTGAGCACTAAACCTGAATGTAGTATGGACAAATGGGGTCAGTTATTTTTATTGATGTGTGGTTGTTCTTTTCTCCCCTTTTTTTAAAAACTTGTTTCTTCGCTTTCTCCAAAAGCCTAACCAGGGACGGGGGCTGCAAATTAGCCTTTGGCTAGAAGCCTTGTGCACTTCACATCGGTTACCTGTGGGTGACAATGTTTTTGTTGTACTGTCCCTGTCAAATAAATAAATAAATAAATTAAAAATAAAAATAAATAAAAATGAAACCTTTTCTATGAGAATGGTTTAAGAGATTGTTACACTTAGTAAGGCTGCAAGTGTTATGATCAGTTCTTGTAGAAATTATATCCTTCTGATCTGCTTTTGTTGAACCATAGTTTGGTGAGAATCTGTTCAACAACTGATGACAGACCCGGAAGCATCATCTCCTCAAATCATTCCAGCGCTATTGATTTTCCTTTTTAAATCTTTGGTTGTTTGGAGAAGGAAATTCAGTTAAATATGTCTGAGAAGTGAAAACAAGTTTGTATCATTCACAGAAAGTGCGCAAGAATTATTTAAACTAAATTATGCATTTGCATACATTTAGGCACCACAAAAGAAAAATCAACATGATATTTTGTGCATTATCTTTTTGCAGAAATAACAGCCTTCAAACACTTCCTCTCTTCCAATCAGAGTCTGGTTTCTGGTGGAAGGTATTTTCTAGTTTGATGGTTCCCGAGCTTTCGTAGCCTGTTATAAATAAACCCAATGACGGTAGGAATGATGATAAAGAGAGGTAAAGGGTAAAAAGGTTGATTTTTAGAATATGGATCCACCCGAGAGTCGGCTGCCGCCGGAGAAACACAAGAAGAAGAGACGGGAGACTCGTGTTTTGTTTTACTTTTTCAAACTCATTGGACTAATTTCAAAATGGAGGCTTACGTATCTGCGCTCAAACTATTATCTGGACTTTAACATGAAACTGGTCCGAACTACATTTATAAGGTAAGGCCCATAACACACTGTTAAATGTGCTTTTTACATACCTTGGCGTTTAGTATGAGCAAACCATGTGGACATGAAACATATTCTACTGTAGCCAAGCAAATTGTGAATAAGCCGCTCTGTAGGTCCTGCTATTTCAATAATGCATATGTACATTTGATTGGGGGTGAAGTCAGTGCTCACCAGTCACTCACCAACCTCACCGCACTTCTCTGTGGCTAACGCATGCGCAAATTCCTGCCCCGCAGCTATTTTGAACGGCAGAGATAGGCATGACTATGTCCGTTAAGATTTACAGTCTATGATGGGAACTCACCCTGACTGTTCTAACCATCCTGCGCCTCTGCTTATCACAGATGTTTCTTGGTCTGCCACCTCAGGCCTTATCTAGAACTGTACCTGTGCTCTTACAGTTCCTCATAGTTCCCCTCATAGTTATAACTGAAAGCTGAAAGTTATAACTGACATTTCCCCACAAATAAAGGATCTCTTAAACTTATTCTAATTCTCTTTAATAGCTTCTCTTAACCTTCCCCTAAATCATTATGTTGAACAGTTGTTTTGAGTCTTCCACTCTTCAGAGAAGATGCAAAGAAAGCAAACAAAGGTGTTGAAAGAAAAACATGTTTAAAGGCTGCCTAACATTATGCACATGTCTAATATGGTTTAAAGATGTTTTAGCATGTGATGTCCCTTTTAGATATTCACCAAAACATCCCACAATGAAATCCATTCTCTGTACATAGATGTAACAACAATCATCATCATTACTAAACCATTTTCAGGAAAAACAGCCAAACAACTCACAGACACAGAGATGTTTGACTGGTTTTATATCGCCCTCCGCTCATAATGTTGACAGATGCCTTTTATGTGGGCTGTTTGTGAAGCCCGAGGCCACATCACGCCACAGCGGCAGAGTGGTGATCATGCAATGGCTCACAGACAGCACGTATCGGACTTTCAGTAAAACCAAACGCGGGAATAAAGCTGATTTATGGACTCATTTGTTTGCACTGCAGGCTCCAACACAAGTATTGAGCCCATAAAACACACGTGACAGCTCCCTACAGGAACAGCGCAGTTTGGGAGAGCAGACACGGCCAGCGGTTAGTCTCACCACTTTAAAGTTAACGCTCTCAATGCATGGAAATGAGGTGCAAGACGGAGAGCACAAAAGTTCATCTATTTATCTATGTACAAGATGCGAATGTCTTCAGTTCAGTTGAGTAGATTTTTAATACACAGTAGAAACATTACACATTTATTCAGTTTGATATAAATGCACTTTTTTAAATGGGACAGTACTTGAAGCAGTACTTACACAGGGCCTGCATATTTAAACAGAAGATGAATTTTGCAAAATCAAGGTTTTCTCACTTTTAACCGTGTTTCAAGCCCTCATCAGTCACAGACCTGGAGATGTTATAAAATCCATCCACGCTAATGTCAGAGACCTCTGGCACAAACATGTGACTCCGCCCCCTTTATCTAAAAGCCTCTGTCTTAGCCCTGTAATAGTTATGTCATCGTACCACTATGATATCACACTTACAGCAGTTTTCTGCCTTAGGAAACAAAAAGTTTGACCCTTAGGTTGCAAAGATTTCTTCTCTGCAATAATATGGCTGTGTTTGCAGCCGGGAATCTTTTAGTTTGGCAAAAGGCAAAAAGATTTAACTGGTGGAAACATACAAAGTT